GCCACAGCAAAGTTTCTGAGAGCATCAGCAGTAAGTAACCAGGTTGATTCAGTGATATCCTCCTCTACATATCATTGGTATCCCGGTGTGACTTCGCTCGGCTTCCACCAATTAATTCTGCGGAATGTAAAAAAAAGAAAAGTTTTAAGTGAAGTAAATACTAGAAATAATAAAACTACATGAACTAAAAGGTTAATAACGAACTTAGCAGTATTACCTCTACGTTATCCCTCAGAAACAGCAAAAACTCGCGCTGATAACCATTCTCTAGCTGAGCCGTCTTCACGGTGATAAACTTCTCGTAGCCCAATGGCTCTGTACAGAAAAGTCTTCTCTGAAATGGAGAAGCGAAGTAAACATTGGTACTTGGGATTGCAATATCCTGGCAAAAAACAGATTTGCACTGTGCAGAAATAACACTCCGGACAGCTTCACGTACTTTTGAGGCTAACCTGGGCCGACGAACACTGGCGGTGAACCTAACAGAAATTCTCTCACCATGAAGATGTCAAGGCAGATAGGGTGAACATCGGCGATCAGTGGTAGTGACAATATCAAAAAATACGGCACTGTCTATGCTGGAGAAGAGACATATCATTGAAGAATAACGGAACTCACTTCCGAAATTGTGAGCTTCCCGATATGGGTGAGATAATAAAAGCTCGGATCAAGGCAGAGGCCCAAGAACCAAGCCCCGGTAGAAATATCCGAACGGCAGTCTTCAGACGAAACGTGATCGGACGTTAACGATCGCATATACACCGGCTCACAAGAGTAGCCCACAAGTGAAATGTTCCAGCTTATCACTACAGAGCTATTCACTACAAATGAATCAAAACCAAAAATGTTGTGAATATCAATCGAGCGATTATGCGCGCCACCTCGAAATCCTGACCTATTGCCACGTGCATTGGCGCGTGTGGCTCAGAGGTCGGACGCGCCGTGCGACACGCGTCCGCGCACAAGGCTTGTGGTGCCTTCCATCTCTCCAGAGTCGGAGAATTGGTACCAGACCTCTCTGGGAGGATAGCAGCAGTGGCTCGATAGATCAGCAGGCCACCGCGAGTCATTGTAAAGGCCAGATATGCATTCAATCGCTTCCAACTATACTCAACGAGGTCGAATGCATGGCGGCACATCCCTAAGAGATTTATCAACGCCAAGAGCTTTTTTAATTGATGCAGCGCGCATCCGAACGGTGCAACCCTTTCAATAGTTCGGGCTAGAAGACGTGGTAGTCTGTCGAATATCTAACAGAATTGGTTCGATACAGAGTTGTTCTCACGGCCTCCAGAAATTTGTACTCAAATCCATAGTGTTTCTCCGCACTGGGGTCCCATATTGTGAGCGCAATCCGAAGCGGGTAGGCTATTCTCCATCCTATCAGCTCAGTCAGCACGAATGAAAAGGATAAAGGATAAGACTCTCGGCGTTGATCCATCCCTGACGAATTCGCCATGCATTCAATTTCATTAAGCGTCGTTGAAGGTGATTTAATGCGTATCTGCCCTTATAATGACTCGTGTTGGCCTACAAGTCTGGTACCAATTCGCCGATCTCAGAGGAATGGAGTATCTGGTGGGCCTGCGGCGCGGGGATCGATCCCATGTGTGCTGCTGGGCGCCCCATTACTGTGTTGCACGTGCCCTTTACACGCCAGCACGGATACGTACGCATTTTGTTCCAACCATTTTGACTAAGAATAGGTGCGTGGGGGAAAAGATGTATAGGGAACTATAAAGAGGCAGAGAGCACTCCAACAATAGAACTAAGACGTAAAATGATTACGACCTCACACTTGTACTAAATACTGCATTTTGTCGGTGAACCTGCGTGCAACAGTTATAAATCTCCAGCTAGAAGTAAACTCTCTATGTTCAGCAAGTACCCAAATAAAAGAAAGAAGAAATTTTAAAGAGGAAGAAGAAGATGGTGGAGATCGCCGTACAGCATGCTCCTCAATTCCGCTCCTTCCATAGCCACAAAGGGAAAAAATGTGCATTCCCACATTTGCGAACTTAATTAGGAGAGCATCGCTGTGAAGTTTAGCTTAGATTTACAGAGAAAGATGCAGTAAGCAGTAGTCTCTCACTACGGTACAACATCGTGAATGCGCGAAGACGCTGGAGAAATCTCGGAACAACTTCAGCCTACCTAATTCCGGGATAATTGTGTGGATTTGTGCTTACCACGCAAGCACACTAACATACGAATTCACCATCGAGCAAATGATGATGCAAGGTGAAAATTTAAATGCGTTATCCAACTAGCCGTGAGGAGAAAACACTGCTTATTTAATATCATTTATGTCAATAGATATTTCACTTGCAGAATGACTGTGGGGAACTACTGATGCATCAATTCAGAATCTCAGTCTTGTATTTCTACTCGAGTCAGATACATCACTCACCCATGTCGGACTTCGTGCGGCTGGTGTCCACCATAAGTTGAAAGACTTATAAAGAACAAAACGATTAGTTCAATGATGCTGAGATATTTGCAAAACTCCGGACCGCAGGTGTATGCGGTTGGGAACGAACGCGTTACTGTCGTTTCCGGGGAGTAGCGCGCTCACCACCACACCATGCAGGTCCTTCGTTTCGCCTGTTTCGCAACTAGTTCTATCGATCTTTTGCCATCAGCAATCAACCGTCAACGGGTTTGATCTGGGGAGCCCAAATCGGCAACGAACCCAGTTAAGCTGAGGCTGCATTTATAATCACAATTTTAACTTTTTGCTTACTACCCATTCTTTTTAACGGTAGGGTATATATTGCGAAATATAACTTCAATCATGCTGAGATATTTGCAAAACTGGCATAAAAATCAAACGGAGAAAAAAATAAAAGGGTTAAAAAGACAAAACTCTCCGCGTTGATCAATCCCTGACGGATGCGCCATGCACTCGACTTCATTAAGCATCGTTTGGAGGTGACCGAATTCATGTCTGGCCTTCAAAATGACTCGCAATGGCGTACCAATGCATCGAGTCCCTGCTGATATCCTCGCCGACAAGTCTGGTACCAATTTGCCGACCCCGGAGGGATCGAAGGCTTCGTGGGCAATGGGTGCTAGGATTGATTCCACGTGTGTGTTGTAGGGCGCCTCCGACCACTGCGCCCCACGCGCCCTTGGAATGGAAATAATAGATAGAAAATATAACAACGGAAGTAGAAAATAAAACAAAAATAGAATAAATGAGTTAGTAGTTATAAATAAAGGAGAAAAAAATGAGGAAAATAAAAGGCTTCAAAATGGACAAATGAAAATAGATAAAGAACAAAAACAAAATTAGATTGAAACGAACTATATATAGAAGGCGTTGATTGCATGTAAGATTTCGATGTTACATTTATAATTGCAGACTATAAAATAAATTTTTTTGAACAAGGCATTTCGAGCATCGGAAATAGATTAAGGGTTAAAAATATTTTGTCACTTTAATTTATTTGATTTTTCCGACAGTCAGTTTCTCTTTACCACAGTCACCCATTTGTGGCCTCCCACCCGTCAACAGGAACGACCTGGTGAGCACAAATCTACAGCTGACCTATCGAATATCTCGGCGACATTGTGGCTGTGTTTCACGTTATACCCTACCACGAAACAGTGGATATAAAAGAACTTTTGTCGATGATTGTTATAAACGTATTGTGGCTAAGGTTTCGTCTCCATTGTCCTCTTCTGAGCATCGCCATTGCAGGAGAGCATCGACAACAGTTTGCTCTTCAATCCACGATGATCTTCGAACTCCGAAGGTGCCCTTTCACTGTTCTACATCTGCCTCGTTCCAAGTTACTCAAAAATTTGGTTAGCTACAAAATTGTAGTCGTGCAAGGAAGCAACTAAGTGGTATGCTACTTGCCTGCCGTCTTCGTGTAACGTACACAAATGGTTTCAGCGTTAAAACTTCACACATCTCAGTCGCCTCTACATTTCTTGCCACGTTACATGTACGATCACCTCTATTCCCTTTGCACCAAAATAATCGCTACCGGGGAACCAACCATTTCTTTCCCAAGCAACATCGCAGACATAATGGACACTTTCAGTATTGTTGTATTCTCCTTCAGTTAGTCATATTTGTAGTCGAAACGTTAGTCGTTAGTTGATAAATGGTTTCATACATGCACAATGCGAGGTATCTATAACGCCGACTCCGTTTCAAAACCCTAAATTTTGCTGCATGATTCGAGTAGTTGGATGCTTGGATACTAGAACGACCCGTGCACACTGATTGTACAGACCACAGAATTATCTCCATTTTTCGGAGTTCAGCTGGTTTAGCCATTGTAGTTCCCTAGATTCCCGAGGTCAGCCTGGCCAAAGTCTGCCTCTGGTCGTCACCACCACAGGCAGTCGCCGTCCTTGTGGATCTGAAGGAGATTTATCAACATGTGACTAGTTTGGTATCAGCTCGGTGGTAGATCCTGGTATTGGTTTACTGTTAGCTGAACTTTCTGGTGGAAACCTCGGACTCCTTAGCCTGGCAGACTCCACTAGGGAAATATACAATCCCGCTGTACATTGCAGCGTGAAATCCAAGAACACCATCCAGCCTTTATAGATCATTTCTATTAAAAAAGTAAAACTTTTTTACATTTACAGGAATACATGAATTGGAGTAGATACTGATATCTCTGGATTAAAACGACAAATCGTAGACGTTGTGGAACACACAACGTTGTAAGCAATCAAAGACGTTCATCGAAAAGGAATGAGATATTGAGGAATACTGGAAACTGGATCCACTACACAGTCACTTTTGGTGGAAAATAAACGGGACTTTGAATAATCTGAATTCTTGCTTACAATCTAGGCGGAAATCTGGAGGCAATACGCGTGTCAGATGCAGTGTATGGAGAAAGTAAATAGAACATAGAGCGCTATGCTTGTACTAAGACACACAAAGCTCCAGGAAACACCTATTATTCGCATTTTTTCTAACAGAATTTTTTCTCATTGGCGAGATCTTACTTTCACTAAGGTGTTTTCATCAGATGGACATTCTTTTGGCTTATGAGCGTTTACGTGCCCTTCATCGCTTCTCTGAACTAATGAGCATCGCTTGTCTTTTATCGATAAATCATGAAAATATCATGGTGTTTTCGACAAGGTGATAATGATTTGCAATACATAAGAAGGTAATGAGTTCTCATTGAACAGCTACGTCTAGTTATTTACCGTCTAGAAGGAGTTCATACAGTGAATTCCTTTTGTAATCCTTCCTAGTAAAGTGATTTCATGGCTAGATATCTCCGCAAGAATGTTCCACTTTTTTCTTCTTATTTTTCCACATATGAAAAGTTCTAAAGAATAATTTGGAAAGAAGTTTAATAGCTATTAGGAATACACATTTATCACACTCTTTTTGTCGCTTTAGCTTGTTTGGTGTGGCGATTTTAAATGAGGACACTGACAGATTTAGAGGACAGATAGATTTGATGACAACCTTCATTTTACCAACAACAGTGCTATCATATGACTGACGAAATAGGAGATGTGAAATGGTGCTACTAATCGAACGTAAAAGGGGCGAATAGCACAGTGGTAGTGATGACCATCATCACGAGCACGGTGCTAGTTTGATTCTGCTCCGGACCAACCAAGCCTCCCAACCCTTCTGGATCGAAAAATTGGTACCAGATTTGTGTGGAAAAATCATTCTCTGCAATCCAATTGGGAACGCTTCAGCCCAGCTGTCTCAGGACTTCAGAGAAAACTGCTCAACCAGCATTCTACAACACTAAAGATTAAATGGAAATTTTCAAGCAGCAACCGATGCTACATGTAAAAGTTAGAAGATGTTCGTGGACAATGCATGCAAGGAAACGAATCGAATGCGAGAAGTGCTGCGATCCACGTAGTAGACATGATAATTGACACTTGAATGGGCCGTATACACTGGTTGCGCAGGCCCCAGCATAACCTCTATTTTTTCGGAGATTTGCTGGTTAAGCCACTGTGGTTTCTTGAAATTCCGAGGTTAGACTGGCCAAAGTCTTCCCCACGTCTTCACGACAACAGGCAGTCGCAGCCCTTGTGGATAAGAGTGAGATTTACCACCATGCCACCTTGATACCAGAGCGGTGGTGCATCTTGGTACTGGTTTACTCTTAGCTAACCTTCTTGATGGAAACGCCGGACTCTTTCTCAGCTTAGGAGACCCTGCCAGTGGGATGAATCCTTTCGCTGTACACCGCAGTCCGACACGCAGGAACACCTCCCAGCCACAATGAGGCGTTAAGCCGTTGAGAGGAGTAGATGTGAAAGTGGATCAAATAAAATAAAAATGAATTAAAATCGAACGTATCGTTATGATTTGCTTCAGAATACACAGACCTGAGAAACGCCGGTGTGTTCATGAAACCTTCGTGCTATTTAGAAACACAACAGTGCAGGCCTGTAATACTAAATTACAATTTGGCAAAACTCAGGACTATGCCAAACACATAAGCCGGATATCGCAACGCATATTAAGAAGAGTATAGCGAATTTAGTACACATCAGAAAAAAGTTACATCACTCTCCGCCAGTTTTAAAGTGAGAAACCCGAGTTTATGCATTTACAAGCCACTTTTCACCTCTTCAGCTTGAAAATGTTTTAATTTATCGTTTCTTCAAGTATATTCTAAAGCAGAAGTTAGAGCAGACGAAATTCTGGACAATGTGATAAGAATGGGTAGGACAAGTCGCGCAGTCTAAATGGTGAGGCCGCTCCAATTGATTTTGATATATTCGAGTTCAAATTTCGCGCCCGCTTCCACACAGGCTTCTTGGCTTCCCCTAACCTGATCTCGCGTTCAAGTCACGTTGGCCTAAAATTGTTGCGCAGTCTGGTCAACGCTTTCACCACTTTCCACCTTACAGTTCACCCGATTGTTATTTCGCTTCTTTGTTTTTCCAAGTTTCTTGGTGATTTCTTGTAGAGCAAGACATTTTCGTCCCCTTAGTTACTGCGTCTATTCAACGATCGATATACATGCTATGTATTGTGCGTTCAGTACGAACTGTGAACCGTAGCATATCGATTCTTTGGTATTGCAGAATCATCTCTCCTTTGTCACAAAACCAACTTCAGCTTAACGAAACACTAATATCGATGAGAAGATGGTGGTAAGTCAATGACGTGTTGATGTATATTTCTTAAATAATCCATTGTCTTGCAAAAATAACCTAACTTTTCGTGTGGAACAGTAGCTGCTGGAATAGGAAGGTCAAATTATCAAATAGACTTTGGAACGTTTCGCCATAGTGTTATGAAAACAATCAAACAAGCTCAAACTTTTTTGTCTCCTGCAAAGCACCAATCCATTTTGTAGTTGTAGTGGTTCTTCTAGTAGGACATTGGCGCTCCTGGGACATTGGGAAACCGAACTCTTGCGAGTGGAACCCACTAAAGCCTAATGAGCTCATTTCATGAGGACAGATAGATAAATATGGCAAGTAGGTTCCTGCTTCGTATTTACCCCACGAATTTTGCAATGAAGTAATGAATGTGGCATATTCAATAGAATACGCCATCGAAAATTCTCTGAGGTAATGTTTTCGAGGAAACTAGCATTTTAAAAAATGACATAACAATACTCAAAGTTCATATCAAGACGAGATTGCTTAAACAAAATAAACTTTGCCTTTAGTGGTCCGCTACATTTCCTTATGACATTGCAAGCTTCACTCAGTCTGACACTCTCATCTCGAGATACACCTATGTTGCCTTTTGCCACATACTCGCCAGTCGAAGATTGCTTCCATCCAGAATGTTCAGGAAAAGAACTACTGTTGGTAAGTTCTAAAAAATTAGTTCTTTTCTACCTCTTATTTTACAGGTGATAAGATTTGTGAGCACTGTGATGTAAGGTGATAGTTTATTTCTTTGTTTTGTATTCCCTGCCGATTTATCAGTTGAAATTTTAAGCGTGAAACTGTAGAAATTACTCGGGAGGAGGTTGGGATGCTTGATGAAATATGAAGTTGTTCAACCCCTATAATTCCAGATTCGCAGTTCAGCAAATTAAGGAAGTTGAGTAAGTGGTATTCGGTTACGTTTCTTCCATAGCACTTCTATATTTGCATTAACTTGACACGAGTAAATTAGTACTGTTAATGCATAGTGGTTAAATTTTCGATAGGCCGTTGTGTAATGACCATAGCAAAATGAGACAGGCAGTTATTTGCTGCAGCCTTGTTGTCGACAGTAATGAACACAGCAACATTTAATGTGGCAGTAGAACGTGATTTGGTTACAGATTTGTACAGTACCGATAATACTAAGATAAGACACCCGTGAGGACTACCCAAGGCGCTAATGGCGTGGTCGACACGATGTGAAAAAGAGGCGAGGTCAACTTTTTATGTTCGTTCTGGATGTTTTGCCTTTGTTCGTTATCTTTTTTTTTTACAATTTGGTAGTTCACTATCGCTTATGCTGCGTTTCAGGCTACGCCACCAGCGGTGAATATCTATACACCTCCTGGTAAGAATCCATATATTGTAGGTGGAAAAAAGTTTACTGTGTAATGTTGTCCAACGGTATCTCTAGTTATGGATTCCTCCTTTTAGGAATCGTAAGATACTCTGCCAGTCACAAAAACTCCAAGTCTGACAAACTGAGAATGAGTAGGTTTAGCTACTGTGTATTACACAGTACACATTTCCAGTTAGTCTATTCGGTTACGTACAATGAATTTCCTCGACTTAGATCACTCCTAAGAAACTATCAGCTTGATGGAGGATATAAAACATTGATGATCGTTTAATATCAGTAGTTTGAGTATGGAAGTTCCTGACTGGCTTTTAAGTATTGTCTTATGAATTTAATGTATTCTTGTATTCAGAGTTCTCAGATTTTCAGGATGACAATGATTAGCAGTAATACCCATAATTAAATCCGTTTTCCTAGTAATGGTTTGCCATTATTGTACAACATTTGTTTAACCTCCGCTGATGCATTAACGAATGATCTCTCGTTCATGTAATAAAGGGGTTATGCAAGCCACCAGATTGCTTTGGCTAAACCTTTCCTTAGCCCAACTACAAGCTTTATAATCTACTACGTAACCTTATATTCATAAAACTGACTTTTTAGACTTTATATGTCGACTTCATAATGTTTTAGAATAAAGCTGTTATCACAGCATTACATCCTTTTACGTGATGCATTTGCTCCTCGTTCACTTATGTGTGCATTTCGTCTTTTCCTCGTTGTTAGCACAAGTGTAGATCCCTAGTTTTTACTCTTCGTGTTATCTATGTACACGATAACTTCGCTATATCTCTGGTTTATTGCTTACAAAAAGGTTAAACTGCATAAGTTCCATGCTTGACCATAACATAGAAGGACTGCGAGGTGTCACAGAGTTGAATCAGTTGTACAACTCGCTAATTGAGTAGATTGTACATCAGCCGTTCGAAAGTACTCATTAACTTCATATGGTCGACGTATCAGCTCAACATTTCAGCTTATCATAGAGTCTACACGACTTTTTATTACTTAATTTTTTGCATACTTTGATGGCCCATCATCACTGGTTGTGCGGGGCCTAGCATAGTTTCCGTTTTGTCGGAGTTTCCCCACTCTAGCCATTTTGGTTCCCTGGAGTCCCGAGGTCAACCTCGCCAAAGTCTGCCCCACGCGATTTTTTATTAGTGTTGCTATTTCTGGAATGTGTTTCTGTTAAGCTCAATTTACAGCTACATGTTTGTAAAGATTTCCGCATAATTCATACATGGTGCTTCAAATCTGAAATCCTCTGCTCCTTAATCATGATTTTTACATTGTCGTCGTTGTGTTTCGTGGTTGGTATCGTTCCTATTCAACGTTAATCAAAATTCGGTTGTTTCAGGTAACATGTGCTTTTAGATTTCTAGTATTCTCAACGAACAATTGCCATTCACTACTGAAGATGGACGATTTCATCGCACATCTTAATACCTTGGAGTTGAAATCTACAACAGATATGGCCCGTTTAGAGGAATTGCGACGAACTAATGCTATGAAACAGGTGAACTACTACAGGATGTTTTCTCGCGTTCTTTTTTTTGCTTTAAAGGTTGTTTTATGTCGCTGTGACTTGTTGTTTCTGGTTTTCCTATGTCTAGTTTAGGAGATGATCGCTTTAATGAAGAAAGAGCTTGCAAGATATGAAGAGTCGGACAAGGAACGGAATGAAAAACGTGAAAATCTTGAGCGTCAACACGAGATGATTGTGAAGAACGTTGCAGAAAACCTTTCCAGGTTTGTGATATGTGCATAACATGGTTTCTTCTCATAAGTTTTTCTAGGTTTCCACACAAAGTGTATTCGAGATGCCTAATATTTCGATTTCAGCGCCGAGAGCTTTTCAGCTGAATTGGAAACTTTGCATACGGAATGTGCTAATCAAATGAAAAACAGAGATGAAGGTCCGTATGTTATTATTTTGAGGCTTTTCGAGGCTTTTTAAGGCTTTTTATTACATTCCGTATTGCGTATTTGCTTAAGTTGTCTTAAACGCACAACTTCCTTGAGCAGTTTTACTATTATTGTGAAAAAAAATTGTGCATAATTTTAGTTCACATCTGTGTTTGTTCCAGTCCAAACGAAATTGAGTGATTTGAGAACACAATTGTCAAGAATTGCCGAGTCTGAGAAAAGACTGCGTAGTGATGTTCGTGACCTTAAAGAAACCCCTGGAGCAATAGCACCTGATCTAATTAAAGGTTTGGTATCAGGTTGATAGCTGTTCCGATCACTTTCAATCACACCATGTTGAGACCGCAATCATTCTATTTTCAACTTTGGAAATCTGTAATAATTCTAAAATAAAATTCGAGTGATTCCTCTGGGAAATCATGAAGTTCTTTATTGTCATCAACTAAGAAATTTGTTCGGAAACATTCGTAATCATCTGTCACATGTGTGCTCAACTATGCGTTGTGGGTAAATCGCGTGAATTCCATCTGCAGAAATGCGATCGAAACAAGCCGACATTCGGAAGGCGATCTCAGACCGATTTGCGAAATTCGACCTAAAAGTTTGCTTCCTTTCCTATCATTTGCTTTGCACTTTTGTTTTATTTTTATTCAATATCTCAATGATACTTTTAAGGCAATTGTTGCGAAGATGGAGGAGATTGAAGAACAACGCAGACGAAGACTGGAAATGGCAAAAGAGCTTGAAGTAAAATATGAAATGTCAGCTAGACTGGATGCTGAAAATGGTAAGAGTGTTTTTTTATAGCTTGTGTGTTGGTTTTTATCTGCTATTCTTTGCGTGTTCTTTAACTACCTGGTGCCCTTCTATTCAATACGACCACTTGTCAAAAATGTGCTTTAGAGGCACTGGCTTCTCAACTGCAAAAACTGCAAACTAAGTTTTCAGTACTGCTGGAAAAAAAGGAGAAGGTAGTTTTAGTTTATTTAAGTAGTTAAAGATACGTTGTATTGGAAGACGTACTTACAGCTATCTGTACGTACGAGGACACAACATACAGCATCTTTTCACCACGCAGTAGTTTCCACTTCCTGTCGAAAGATCCTCAATTTGTCCCATTTTCTATCAACCTTTCAGAAATATGAGATAAACGCCATCCTATCGTCAAAATATCAATTTAGTTTAGAATTTAAACGCTTCAGATTTGAGCGGCTTGTAGCCATCTGTCAGATGTCAGTTTGCCTGCTCATTTATTATCAAGAAGCAACGTCTAGTTTTCCACCTAATTTCAGTTAGTCATCTGTGTTGTCTACACACAGTCCCATGGAGCGCGGTTTTTTTTCTGACAATGTTTCATTAGTGTTGTCTCGAAAATTCCTGGCTTCTTTCAAGGCACGTTCATTATTTCGGTTCGTTTGCTCCATGGAGAGGATTAATAGCAGTAAAAATTTTAAAGAACCTTTAAGTATACAACGTCTACTTTACTTTTCTGCGTCCACTATGATGGCAGAATTGAGATCTGTAAACGTTTGCATTGCATATAGGAAGTAATTTAACTTTTAGATTGTTAGGCAGAACGAGGATTATGCTAGACGTCTGGATGAAATGGAATTAGAAAAAGCACACATACTTAAAATATCGGAATCAATGGCATCTGAACGAGAGAAAATAAGGAGGGAAACGGCCATTGTTATGCAAGAAACCGTAAACGTTGAACGACGTTATAATTTAATTATAGCGAGCCAGTTAGCTAGAACCTGCTGCGCATTTTGCAGGCTGAAAACGAAAAAAAAATATCCTTGGCCAAGCACTCCTTAGAAGAAATGAAAGCAGAAGTTTTACAAAAAGAGGAAGCCCTTAGAGAGTTGAAGGAACATCGTGAAAGGCAGGAACAGCAGATGGCAGCTGAATTAGAGAATATGACGGTGAGTATCCTTCCTAGAATAGTGTGGTTGTTCCAAATATGTTCAAATTTAATTTCTAGAATGAATTCGAAAAGAGATGTGACATTTTACTGAAACGACAGGAGAGGTATTCGAAAGCATCGGAAGAGGCCAGAGCAGAGGTGAGCTTTAACGGGCTGTGCTACCGATTGTGAAGAAAAACACGATCTAACCATTTTAATATGAACATTGACTGGAAGCAATGTTAATATACGTCTGCTGATTTTTTCGTTCCATTTGTGAACATCGTCTAAGCAACTATCTGCGAGTTACTGCACGCAATTAAATGGTTTACTTTTGGAAATTTAGATCGAGAAAATGAAACGCTATGAGAAATTTCGCGCAGCGTATGACGAGAAGTGCCGTAAAATATCCGAAATGCAGGAAAAGCTGTTAAAGTTGAAGGAACATCACAGCAATCTCCTCAAAAAGCAGGAGGAAAAGGAGCGGGAACGAGCTGAACAGGTTCCCAATCGTTTGTCTTCAATACCGTCAAGAATTGTAGTTTTCATTTGTAATCCACGGAAACTACATTCCCTTTTAGTATTTAAATGAATGCTCTTGCACATGCTGACGAGTAGTTTTGTGAGCAACTATTTACATCCATTATAAAGCACTTTTTTCAGTTAAAGTTTAATTAGTTAGTTTAGTTTGGTTTAAGTTTAAATCTCTTCCTACAGAAGGCGAGAGTCGAGACCGTTCGCCGTGAAGTCGAGGCAAAAAAGCGTGAGACGGATGCAAGGATTGAGGACATGAAGGTTCTACTCATCTTCTTTGTGATTTGTATACATATACACATGTGTATATATTTACATATACATACATTCAAAGGGAAAAGAAGAAGAAGAAAAGCAATAAATAAATAGGTAAATAAAAAACAAATAGATAAATAAATAAATATACCAAGAACGACTATATTTTTCCTTTTCGGCTAATAAACGTGCTTATAACCTATAAAATTTGTTTGTCTGTCCTTTCTCGAATTTTCTTCTCGATTTTTAAGGCAGAGAATAGAAAACTAGACGCTAAAATTATGGCGGAAAAGCAACATGTGAAAATTTTGGAAAATACGATTTACGAGATCGACGGCAAGATTTGTCTAGAGAAGCACTTGGTATCTGCTAAGAGAGAAGAGCTAAGGAGAGCCAAAATCAAATTACAGGTGAAAAGTTTGCCAAAATTCGTGTTAATTCAGTTGATTTCAATGATTATCCTGTTATGCATTCCGGTATATAATTATATAAGAAGGTGTGCAGGGAAATTTCACTCAATCAGGAGATGGAGCCGCGGAATTAACACCAGAAAAACAGAATCTTGACGGAAGGCAAGAAGAACGTCTCAGCAGAAAGGTTTAAAACGAAGACATTCTTTAAAATTTTTGTTTGCGGATATTTCGGTCTACAAAATCCCATGTGTGCAAAATTAGCTGGTAGTCTATCTGAGATGTTATTAAGAGGCCAATGGAGAAGGCTGGAAATAAGCGTGAGGTACAACTGAAAAGAAGATTCTCTTTTGATGACAGAAAATCAAATCGAGGTATCGCACAAAAAGAAAATGAGGTGGGAAACGATCAGGTAAGGAATTCTCGTCTGCCCAGAATGTAATAGACGTATATGTTCTTCACTGCGATATTTATTGCCTTGAGGGAGAGTCAAGAAAATGGTCGTATCAGTTTACGATTATGATTGTCAGAGCAGAAGTTTAAATTAATGAAATAACTGTGTCTTTCTTACGTTTTTTAAAGCTCCGTACTACTACCTCTTGGGTTGCGCCATCAAACAAGGGAAAACATGGACTACAGCATGCTACCTTTCGTTTTGAAAAGTGATATTAAGGAACGGAACTGGAGCCACTTAAGCGAAGAAGTGGTGGAAAAACTTCCTCAGCCCGTTGTTCCGAAAGTTATCCTAGGACACTAATCTGGAATACAGTTAAAGTATAATGTTAACTTTTTATTTATTGCCTACTACAATTGTTCACGGCAGAGTAATAAGTGAAGTACAACCGCAAAGATATTTGCAAAACTCTAGACCAGGTGTCTGCGCTGGGGATCAAGCGCACTATTACCCTTTATGTGGTTTTATGTTTATGTGCCTAAGCGTTCATCATCACATCATGCGGGTCCTTCGTTTTGCCTCTCGCCTTATGTAAACCACAACATTCGCATCGCATTACTCTGTACAAGCATCGCTGCTTTCTGTGCTATTACAACAATAAAATCAATATGACGTCCAAATAATTACTCCATACAGTACCCTACCGTGTAAAACTTGTAATAGGTAGTAAATAAAGAGTCAGCATTGTGATATGTCGATTTGTGCTTCCCAGGTCAACCCTGTTGACGGATGACTGCTGGTGGCACAGGTATATAGAGAACTGACTGAGAGAAAAGCGAATCGAAGGGCCCGTATGGTGTGGTGGTGAACGCGTAAGCCCCGGAAAGTGTAATGATGTGTTCGATTCCCTCCAGAAACACCTACTGTGCTGCCCGGAGTTTTGCAAATATCTTAGCTTGCTTTGGTAGTTAAAGTAATTTCTGATATTTCATGTCTGCCTTCGTTAACATTGAGATAAACCGGCTCAAGTGAGCACAAGTTCCACTTTTGTCCCTCTAGTGCGCCGAAGTAGCATAATGACCTCGTTATACTCGGCGAACATGGAAAAATTCGAGTTCCGTACACGACGCTCTGTGCATTTTCATTATTTTTGGCCGGTTCAGTGCAATCAAACTTTTTTCTCACTTCGCATCGTTTATGTTACGTAGTGGAGCTTGTCAATCAACATTTTAGGATAGAAGAATCGAATGCATTGGGAAAAACAACGATACGAACAAAGTCGATGAGGGAAAAGACTTCACTACAGCTTATCAATTAAGGAGACACTTTTGTACTAGAAAAGCTAGAAGCGTTGAAATTGAAGGCGTACGTGCAACATTTTATGCACTGGTTTTTCTACAGAATTACGCATAAATCGTAGTTTACCAATTTAGGAACAAAGTTCTAATTCCCAGCACACTACTTCGCTTGCTTCAATGTTGGCTGAGGAATTCAGTAATTTTCTACAACATTTCGGTTTAATGTGATCTCAATATTTATGTAAGTCTAATTTTTTTAGAGCGAGACATTACCGTTGATAGGCATGGTGGTGTGGTAAAACACGACGACGGTGGCGAGTTATTCGGCAGACCTGGGAATATTGCGCACAACAAATCTATTCTGTCAAAAACCACCATTGCAAACACAGCGCTTATGGCGAATGCAGCCGAGAGACGGTAATTTTTCTCATCATGCAAGCCATTGTTTAGTGACTTATTAGAGTGCAACTTGTTTTTAATTGACTATAGAAATATGGTGATGAAGTTTTTTCTCTTAGTAGTCACTGTTTAGTGTTAAAGGCGGGAAGAAGACAGTTCGTTTCGAACTCAGTGAATTGAGCACTTCAACATCTGGCACTGTGAAGAAGCAGTAAGTTGTCTTTCTGTTTGTCATTCTTGTTATACTGGGCAGTGTCTATCTACAGTTATCATTTTTTCGTTTTAATTATGACTAAATCCATTTGCTACTTTTATTAATTCCCAAGATCGACCATTAGCCTCGGCATTAACCAATAAATCGTTGTTTTTCTTGATAAGCAAACACAAAGCTGTTATTATCTATTTATTGATTGTAGTTAGCGGTTCAGCGGATTTCGTCTACTTCAGAGTAAGTCAAGGTCTAGTTAACCACAACCTAGCCAACCAGTCACTTCCAATACCTCAACAAATAAGTCACAATACCCAGTTTTCAATCGTATTGAATGTTAAGCATTTCATCGAAACGTAACCGCTCTCAATGAGATTTCCAGTGACTATTCAGCACACGAAGTTGACATTGATAGATGAGTGCCTCTCTTACGTCAAAGTATGAATCTAAGATATTGTGTGAGATCCCGTATCATAATGAGGATGTTTTCTCCGCGATTCATTTTTGGATTCTTGGAATTCTTCTAGTGTTTTAGGCGCTAACGTATTTAGATTTTTGCAGAGGATGATAACTTCTAATTCGAGATCTACTCCATTAACGTCTCTGTGTTCTGTGGGCTCACAGCAGATTATTAGGTTTATTAGTTTTGATTTTTCTGATTAGGCGCTCTCTTACACAGGCGCAAAGTGGTCCACTTCTTTCGTACACCGTACCGATATTACATAGATGCTCAGTGGAAGGAGACTCATGAGAAACGATGTGTATGTGAAGAGGCTTTTTTTTACCGGAAGAATTGGAACTTAGGCTTCATGGTTTTCTGCTGATGCTGTAGAGATAAATTTAATGATGCTGAGATATTTGCAAAACTCCGGACCGTAGGTGTATGTGGTGGGGAAAAAGAAACGTCCCCCACTGCATACACCTGCGGTGCGGAGTTTTGCAAATATCTCAGCATCATTAAAGTTATATTTCGCAATATATACCCTGCCGTTAAAAAGAGTAGGCAGTGAATAATAAGATAAAGCTGTAGAGGTATTTCGCTGCCCAGGTTGCAACTAGCATGACATTTCCTTTCTCTGAAAAGCTCGAGTCGGCCAAAACGTTAGCTAAAATTAATAGATGGTACAATAACAACCTTGTGCGTATTACAAACGAAGGTTATTTTATACGTTTAACCCATGTTCCACCACGCCGGACCTTGTGTAGCGGCAACGTTTGCACATAGTTTTACTCTTGTCAAGACGTAAGTTGTTGAACTCAATGCATGTCGGTTAAATCTGCCAGCTAAAAAGTGGCCGTGCCTTTTTTTTGTTTTCAATTTCATAATTCCGAATTTACCTATATATCTTCACTCATACCTGTGGCATATTTTCTTTTTTCTGAGTAACTTTTTTGTTATTCTATCTTTTCTTCTGTTTTTTTAGAACATTTATAATTGTTGTGTAATAAAAAGCGCTGATCACGAGGCCAATCGCAATGTTCGGCTCTCCATAGTTGTTTTCTTAAGTTGATTTTACTTCGCACTTTTGCACACTTCCCAATCTTCACCCATTTCGTAGTAAACTGGTGTTGAAAACTTGTGGTATCCTCAAAGAAACATTGTTAATAGGAACTCTGCTAACTGCGCGCTATATTGTGTCGACTTCGAAACACCGTAGAACTATCGTCATTGAGTTCGAGGTATCACATGCTTTCTTCACCGAAAATAGTCCCTGCTCCAGAAGAATAAAATTATGAGAATTAAAAACAAACAGAGTCACTTCACGGAAAATCCTCAAAACATATGTTTTGGAAGAGGAATCGATTCAACACATAACGTATAGCAAGAGAATACTGTGCTGGAAAATAAAAAGACAGGTAAAAATGTACGGGCATCAGCATATACGGTAACGTAAGTGTAGGATAACATACATAGAATATACAATGTACTCGAGCACGATGGAGAGAATCAGTGGATGGGTGTTTGGAAATGCTTTTTCATTCTATCATTTTGACTTTATGGTTCACACAGCCCTCATATGCACGAGATCAGAAGAATCGCGTTAACTAATGAGAAACCAGTCCAGTCTCTAAAAAATTTTTTGGCTTTTACTTTACCTAGACGTGTTGCAGATTTCATTCGGATAGAGAAAAATCTTCGACTCAGAGCGATTGTGAACCTATGCAGCTCATACGGCCATCACTGTTAGTGCTTCCATTTAGAAGAAGATGCAAAAATAAAGACACCGAAGCAACTAGTCGAAAACGTCGCAGAGCAAGAAGAGGGAGGCTGTAGTTGAGAAATCGTCTTTTGTTCTATAATTAGCCGCCATTGTGTTCAGTTGTATTTCGTTTCTAATTCTTTCATTATGTTCTAAACTGAGGTATATTGTCTGCCCCACTGACAATATTGCTATTTCTTATTTCATCGCTATACTTTTTCTACATGGTGTGCGCATTCAGTTACTGAGTATGCTGTTCTGTGAATATTAATTTCTGTTAGGCTATGAACGTGTGAAGAAAATACCTCTTTGCGTTTTTAACAATCGTTTTGTTACTTGCACACCTTTTTTTAAAAGTTCAGATGTGGTGATTGTCTTTTGATGGGCACCATGCTAAACAAGTATCGAGACCCACTACATCCTTTTTTCGCCCAGAAATGAACCTGTTATCGTCCTATGTGACCAGTTTTACAGTCGCAATAACTCAATATTTCTCTGAGGACCAAGAGACTGCGCTNATGAACCTGTTATCGTCCTATGTGACCAGTTTTACAGTCGCAATAACTCAATATTTCTCTGAGGACCAAGAGACTGCGCTTATGTTTAGCAATGACGCTACTTTTAGAGCATAAGGGAAATCGAGTGCAGAATGCTATATAAAGAAAGAAAGGGCTGCTAATGGCTTTCAGTGAAGTCGAGCAGATATTTGTTTGGTGAATACAACGAGGAGTCCATTCTATGTCTTCATGCTTGGAACCCATGTGAACGATAAACGTAGAAGAAGACCGATATTGGTCACGTATTTGCTACAAGCTGTGCCGTAGTAGGTTTCATGGTTCTGTTGGACTGATTTCGGTCCATATGAACGATAGGCGCACCTGTACAATGTGGGAACGTGTCAATAAACATAGATCCGATTTACTGAAACCCTTCTAAGCTTCTGACTCGAATTGCGTGAAATTTATTGAGAACTTTCCACAATCAATAAACTGCACCTACACAACCCACAGAGCCATTTTCGAGTTTTACCAACGAGGAAGTGCGTTCGAAAGGACAATACTCTCTCAAATTTAACGCATTTGATCTAACGTCGATATGCAAAATAGAACTGGGAAATATGCGATTAGTGGTAGAAGGTTAATCAAAGTTAATCACCTCTCTGCTCGCTGGATGTGCTTTATGTTTTGTCGTCGAAGGAGTAAGGGCAGTTTTTCCTATAAATTTTACAAATTCCGGCGTTTTCCTGTTTACGAGCTAAGCTGTGGTGCCTGAATCTGTCCGAGTGCCGCACTTATTTAACACAAACCTTCTCGTCATACTCGCTATGAGTTGATATTAACAAATGTTGCTCGACGCGTCCTCCCCGTACCAAGGATCTCATCCTTTTTCTGGTTCTCTTCTTCTATCATTCTGTCTAATTATGTTAAGTGCATGTTTGTCTAAGTGCTTCTATGTATTGACCTTGGTTTTTGGAACATTTTGAATGTTTAGTGAAGAAGAATACACTCACATATGGCAGAAATAATTGTGTGCTTCATTTATAGACAACGATGTCTTTACGAAATTTGTCAGTTGAAATGCAATTCATTAGAACCTGTTTCTGTGGCTTGGGAAACCTTTTCTGCTGCTTTGTCTTGGCTGGTATTTTGAGTACCGAAAGAAACAAATGGTATTTTGGTGAACAGGAGGTGATAGTTTTCCTAAATTGAGCTCATGCTTGTGGCTATCGCCTTCCACTAAGATTTTTATGGCTGGAAATTCCACTTTGAATTTTCCATGAATTTAAACTTTGAAAAAAGCGTTTTTATACACTGCACTATGGAGTAAGGCCTGCCCTATGGTGTTGATAATACTCATGTCCTCAAATACTCTAATTATCTTCTTGCTTCATTTATCGAAGTATTATCAACGGTAATCGAACTGATACCAGTGGTGGCGGAGTCCGCCTAAGCAATGTGAAATGCTCTGTGCGAACTGTTCTCGCTGAAATCATTCCCATCTACACAACGATGTCTTTCGTTATCTCAGATGGTCAATAGCGCAGTCTCTTGGTCCTCAGAGAAATATTGAGTTATTGCGACTGTAAAACTGGTCACATAGGACGATAACAGGTTCAT